TTGTACTAAGCAATGCATAAGCATATGGTTAGAGGTTATACCTGAATCATGGAATGAATTATCYAGATACTTACCATAATCAGCATGAATGTAGATTATATTGCTATAATGCAAATCAGACTCAKTGGTTTCTTGTGTCTGACGGTGTCAAACATTTTTGCAGAATTTAGGTGATTTCCTAGTGGGACAAAGTGCTTTGAGAGATAAAATTTGACAGCAATTTACTTGTTACTGGTGTTTGCTTTTTTTATTTATATGTATGAAATATATAAATACAAAATAAACACCCACACTATATATATGTATATTTTTAGGGAGATTGGCAATTTCAGAGATTTTGCAATAATTTAAATAAATGCTTTAATAATTTTCCAATTCTTATTTCCTAATTGTTAGGGTTTTTTCTTCTTTTCTCTTTATTTCTTTTTTTAATTAGTCAAATTATTTGCTGGAAAAATTTCAGAAAAGATGTTTTATAATTCCATATTGCCTTTTCCTCTTCATACAGTTGCTGCTACAAAATACTATTTTTTATGACACCGACACATGTACAAAGGCCTAATTTCTGGAGTTAACTATGTGTTAGGGCTCTGTTGCTCTTCAGTGACCTGTTAGCCTGCTCTAAATTTAATGTTCTTCAGCAGCAGTGATGCCAAACTATTTCTAACTGAGATAAAGAGGCAGACATGAAAATAAAATTTTTGATGAAGGTGCAAAGRAAGTTTAAATAGAAAATAGTGATCCACACAATAAATGCTGGGAGCAGGGGGATATCAGTCAGACAGTGGCAGTTTCATGTTTGGAATAATGCACATTAAATGTAYGTTTGATGATTTAACTACAAAAACACTCCCTGTCCTTTCTTTGTAGGAAAGTGGCATCTTGGGATGAACTGTGAAAGCAGTAATGACTTCTGTCACCACCCCCTCAGTCATGGATTTGATTACTTTTATGGCCTTCCTGTGACCAATTTTAGAGACTGCAAACCCGGCCAAGGCAGCGTRTTTTTAAAAGGGGTTCAAAACACCCTTGTCATCCCAATCCAAATCACTGGAATCACCCTTGTGTCTCTGCTGATAGTGCAGTACATTGGCCTCCTCAAAGTACCCTTCCAGGCATTGGGTTACTGCTTGTTAATAATCACAATTTCACTTGTGGTTTTGATTTTYTTCTTCTATCATTTTCGACACTTAAACTGCTTCTTAATGAGGAACCATCAGATTATCCAGCAGCCGCTGTCCTTTGAGAATCTTACACAGAGATTGACAAAAGAAGCCATGCAGTTTATTGGGAGGTAGGTTCCTAACTGTTTTATAAGTTAATGTTGGCATTTCGCAGTGACTATACTTCTGAAAATTAGGAAAAATTGTGAGCTGGCGGGCACAAGGAATATGTCATTATGTATAGTCATTTTTTTTTTCTTTAAAAGGTGACTGAAGTGATTTTTTTAGTGGAAATGACTGTTTGGTTTCTTTCTTTCAAGTATGCAAATAGTCTCACTATAAAAAGTAAAACACTTGATTTACATGCTTCAGAAATGTTTTTCAAAAATTTTCAACTTTTTTAAGACTTTCTTTCTTAAGAATTTCATAYAACTTGAAGTATGAAAAATCTTTGGTGGTATAACTTAATTCTGTGAAAACAATGCAGCCATAGTCCGTGACTTTTCTGGAATGGGGAAATGTTCTTCATCATTGAGTTGATGCATGCATTAAAAGGCATTCATATGCCAATTTTTTTAAGATACTGGCATTTTAGATGCCTCCACTTTTATGCCACTAATTTTGAAAAAAAATTGGTTTTGAAAAGCTAGGGTGCAAACTTCTGCATCTGGGACAGAATAGCCCCAGGAGCCAGTACAAGCTGGGGGCTGACCTGCTGGGAAGTTGCTTTGTGGAGAAAGACCCCTCTSTGGGGGTCCTGGTRGACAATRAGCTGTCCATGAGCCAGCAGGGTGTCCTTGTGGCCAAGAAGGRCAGTGGGATCCTGGGGGGCATTAGGAGGAGCACTGCCAGAAGGTTTAGGCAGGTGATCCTGTCCCTCTGCTCAGCACTGGTGAGGCACATCTGGAGGGCTGTGTCCARCTCTGGGCTCAGGACAGGAGAAGCTTGGAGCTCCTGGAGCAGGTCCAGSAGAAGGCAGTAAGGATGATTAAGGGACTGGAGGATCCCTCTTATGAGGAAAGGCTGAGAGAGCTCAGCCTGTTCTCTCAAGAAGAGAAAACTGAAAGGGGGCCTCAGCAATTTACATAAGTATCTGCAAGGGGTGGTGGCAAGCAACAGAATAAGAGGCAATGAGCAGAAACTGATGCACAGGAAGTTCCACCTGAATATGAGGAAGAACATCTTTTTTTTTGTGCAGGTGTCAGTGCCCTGGAACAGTTGCCCAGAGAGGTTTTGGAGTCTCCCTTTTGGAAATACTTAAGAATCTGTCTGGACATAATCCTGTGCCATGTGCTCTGGGATGACCCTGCTTGAACAGGAGGTTGGACTGGATAACCGACTGTGGTCCCTTCCATCTTTACCCATTCTGTAATTCTGTGAAACAAACWGGTGTTTTGAAAACAATGTTTTTAATTGCCATCACATTGGGCCACCTAAACAATTTGAATTTACAAAACTATTCTAAGTCRTTGTTCATTTTTGCTAAGTTAGCTACTTTGCGATAATTGTCACCACAAGGCTTTTAATATGATTAAGTCGTAACTGTATACATTTGTATATTCTAAAGTAGAAATCAATATATTTGAATACAACGATTTAACTTCTGAAAAAAAATATGTGTAAGATTTTTCTCAACCACTTTTGATACAGGTTGCAGCATTTTTTAAAATACTAAATCAAGTAAAATCTTCCAAGATACAGAATTACTGTTATTCTGAATTTCTATTCTACATTCGTGAATTACTAAAGTATGTACTAGTAGTTACTGTGAATATGCAAATGGTGTTATTGCTGGGTGAAAACATGTGCCAAAAAATCTGAGGCTAAATTTTGTAAGTTTAATAACTGCATGCAGCAGCTGCTTCTAGCTGTTAGTGAGAAAAAGTGTTTATCTAAAATCTTGATCTCATACTACARTTTCTTTATAATTTCTATCATTATGAATATTTGATGTGGCCATCTCTACACATTATACTGAAAAAAGAATATAACAAATTTCCGTAAGTAAGTCTTCCCAACAATCAGCATTCTCATAAGTATTTATAAATTATCTGAACCATCTTTTTTTTCCTCTTGGCAGTAGAGATAAAGATGCTTTCTCAGACACATTGTAGCTAATTTAACAATGAAGTACTTTGTAGCAAACACACGAAYACACACATTTGAAAATTGTTGAGAGATTATTTGTGTAGTAACCAAGCATTTGGTGATTTTAAAGGACGCTTGAGAACATTAACTATATGTTGGTATATTCTTCCATTATTTATAAGTATGTAAAGTGCTTGTAGTGATAGTGTTTTGGGTATCTATGAATGTTTCACTGATTTCAATGCCATGACAATAAAATGATTGCCTCAAAATAGATGAGTTCAAGATGGAAATCAATGGTAGAGAACTAGTAACTCTTCTAATTTTATTAATATTTATAATGTGTACAGTGTTATCATGTGGCTTARTGTTGTTTGACCCCAGTGTTTAGAGCTGGCAAAATAATGTATCATCTAAGTCAGCATAGCTTTCTTGACCCAGCTGGAGGTAAGTGGCTTTACATCATTTGGGCACTTGGCCCCAAATGTCAGTGTAGTTTTCAGACAACYGTGACGTTAAATTGAAGTCAAGGTTAATAGCACATATTCGTAATTTACAACAAACTTCGTTACAGGAGTGCTGCAATTACAGTGAGATTTATAACCCAGATTCCTCAGAGTCAATGTAAAAATAGAGAATATCCAAACATGTTATGGTATTGAGAAGCAMTTAGGGCATTTGAGCAATTTCAGCTGTGCCCTTTAATGAATCCACGTGCAAAGTAAATGGCCATAAACCTTACTCCTGGGGATATGAGTAATTAGATTAATATTCATTGAACTGATCTGTCCCATGTATTAGTGTGAGCAACAAAATCAGTATTTGCTTTGGCACACTAGGTCTGACATTATAAAGTTCACACCTGTCAACTTCAGAGCACGAGTGCACCATTCCTTTTATGACTGATCTACTGACTTGGGCCATTTGTGGTGAATGGCCACCAAGAGGCAACCAAGTGGCAACAGCGAAGGATCACAAGATTTTTTGAAGTCACGGTCGCTTGATAGCATTCTTGTCATTCCAGTTCTTTCCGCCTTTTGGCCACATGTTTGAACATTCAATTTGTCAGTCGCCTTTTCTTTAGATGATACAGTAAGTAGCAAGCTCAGTCATATACACTGGTAATCCTTGTGCACAATTACACCAGAGTGCAAACAATCCTGACTTTGAAGAATTCAAGCTTTCTGGTCCTGAATTAAGGTTTTATCATCAAACTAAAAATCATCAGGTGTCATGTGTCTTTTAATTAGTTAAATATCTTTACAATAAATGTATGATGACGCTCCACWCTCCCACAGCACTGGTATTTCCTGTAAATCTTCATTTATGCTATAATTATAGACAATRTATATGAATATATACTAGTAATTCCACCATAAATGTTGTATCTGTGTAAGTGTATTATACTATTACCTATATTACCTCTATAAGTTCTTTAGGGTTCAGGTGATAGACTTCCAGACATTCTGTATTTTATCTACTTCTCAGTCATATTGTCAGTTTTATGACTTCTTACATGTATAAACATCAAATTCTTCAGAAGGAATAGGCAAAGAAGGAGAGACAGTGTTGTAGTTACTTCGGCCTGGTTTTTGGAGAGGTGCTATTTGTGTTTTATGTTCCTTAGTCCAGTGCRTGTGTATTACAATTTTTGTTGGTTCCTCAGTAGACTGAAAAAGAGCAAATATAATATTCAATGCCCARAAATAGCACTGGGGAAGAATGTATGCAATTACAAGTGTCAGATCTGGTGTGTGAAAGCAGATAGTAATTTAGTTGCTTACACTAATTGTAAGTGGGCAGGTCAGCTCAGTGTATGGTAATTGTAATTGCTTTTTCCCAAGAGGAAGTGTGTTTACATATYGTAAACCTATCAAAATGCTCTCTTGGTATTACAGTGTATTTGAAAGTCAAATGGATGCTAATTATTTCATGTTAAATTCAATGTGGTTGTCACTCATACATCTTCAGCATGCCCTTTAATGACCAGCTGCACAGAAAATCCAATTTTGCTAAATGCCAGAGACCGGTTTGTAACATATCAAAAATAAACAGCACAAAAGCACCGCTCTGTGATAGAGAATACATCTCTGACAAATTTCTATAGCTGACCACAATTAATAATAAAAGGATTTTAAAAAATCCTAATGAAATCAGATTTCTTGGGAACAGTATTCAAATGCAACATGCTTATATTGAAAAACTATGGTGAAGACAAATTTGAAGAATTTTCTTGCCTAGTTTTACCAGTCATATCTCATAAGCATAACTTTCAAAATTTTATTATAGCAGTTAATAGATTGTAAATTTTCTCTTTATCTATTATATTTTAGTCCTTGAAGCACCTGTTCAGCAACYGTTGCAACACCTATTCTGATTGTTTGTCATCTTCTCTAGCGGACTGTGGTTTAGTCTTTCCATATATCGCTAAGTYTTAAGATCTGGCAGTTGTCATCCCATTATGGAGTTAGAGTTCTGAAATCAAGTGTTTTTAAGAGCCCTTCAAGAATACTCCTTATAGTTTACAGCMAAATAGAAATTATAGAGAAGCATTTGTGTATCTCTGTATACATATAATGTATTTGTGCACGTGTATTAAAAAAGGGGAGTAACTTATGAACTTACAACTCTACTGGATCTTCATGCTTTTTCTCTCAGACYCTTGATTGTGCCTTTTAAACAAAAAGGTAACAGGAAGAAGGTATGAATTCATATAGGGCTTTACTAAATCTTTAGACAATTTAAGAATGATTAGGGACCTCACTAGTTCTGCGATGGAACTAGTCAACGGAACTGTCAATGGAACACTTCTAAAACAGAAGTAGATCAGTATACTGGACTCCAAAGTTTTGTAGATGAGAGGGCTCAGTAATAATTTGTACTGGATGAGAAATTTTTGTTTTTTTTCTCCATGCCTATAAAAATGTTCTTTCAGAGAGAAGAAAAAAAGGTTATATTAAAAGGAAATAAAAACATGTATGAGTTATACACCTTAAGCATTTAAATGAAGCAATGAAGGCATGACTTTGGAGCAGTCAAAGTGTCTGTTGGCCTGGAAGAATTATTTCACAAATACGTTAGTAATAAATCTTACTTTTAGTATGTACTAGAAAGAGTCAGATTTTCTATATATTTACATTTTTTCCYCTCTCTCATTACATTTTCAACACCTTTTCTGTTTCTGATAAGGTACCCCCAGGTAGTTGGGAGTTCTCTTTATGATTTTGATAAAAATTGAAAAGACACACCTGAAGGTATGTCTGAAGGTGTGTCTTTTAAAAGAGCAGACAGAAACATTCCTTCATGGATTCRCTCAGACTAACAAGAATTTTAGCACTCTTAACAGTCAGATCAAAACAAAAMCCAGCATATAGAACAAAGCTTTGATACAAGTAAGCCAAAGTTTGCCTTTTCCTCCTGCAGGAACGARAAGATTTAATGAAGTTTATTCAGCCAGTCCTGTCACAGAGAGTACTGTCTAACTATGGATCTAATTTGGAAATAGAGGGGATAAGCCCTGATAAGTTTATCCACTGTGGGGATACTAAGAACTTTTTTGGTAAAAGGAAAATTGCATAGAAGGAAAAGTTATGTTTGCATCTGCCTGTGTTAACACACTGTTTCTTCACCTAGAGTACCATGTCTAGATCTGAGGGGCTCGGCACAAGAAAGATGTGGACATCTTACAGTGGGTCCAGAGGAGGGTCAAGGAGATCATCAATGGGATGGAGCTCCTTTCCTATGAGGACAGGCTGAAAAAGCTGAGGTTGTTCAGCACAGAGAAGAGAAGGTGCAMGAGAGACCTCACTGCRGCCTTCCAGTRCCTYAAGGGAGCTTATAAAAGGAGGGAAAGGGACRTTTTATGAGGACAGRTGATGGTTTTAAACKGAAAGGGGGCAGRTTTAGATTAGGTSTTAGGAAGAAGGTMATTTCTCAGAGGGTGGTGAAGACCTGGAAAAGGTAGAGCAGTTGTAGAAGCCCCATCTCTGGAAGTGTTCAAGGATTACCTGCTGGTCACGCTGTTTATATTGAAGGCCGGGATATAGTTGGCTTTCTGGGCTGCAASCACATCATTTTGCCACCAAATGTGAAGCTTGTTGTCAGTCAACACCCACAAGTATTTCTCAGGTCCTCTCTCAATCCATTCTTGCTCCAGCCTGCATTTATGCTTGGGATCGACATGACCCAAGTACAGCCCTTTGCACTTGCCCTTGTTGAACTTCATCAGGTTCTTATGGGCTAAATTGTCCAACTTGTCCAGGCACCTCTGGGTGGGATCCCTTCCCTACAATGTGTCACCTGCACAACATCAGTGCACAGAAAAGCWAACAATTGCCCAAGGAGTTTTCAAAGCAGAAAGCATTTGGAGCAGAYTTGCAGGAAGAAAGTTAAAATACCTGTGTTTGAAGCACTAAGTCAGATTGGTTTTAATTGCTCTCTCACCCACTTTAAAGCTGTGTTTTACAGCTCAAGCCTGAGCTGAATCCTTGAGTAGTATAGACTCCTCATAATTAAAAGGAACCTGGTACTTTGCACTGCAGAGGAGTCACCAGCAATGTGTGATCCTTTCAGATTTTTCAAGATCCATTAAAAACACCCTGAAGAATATTTTATGTCAGATGCATGTATTCTCTCTGGCTACTCAATAAATTGAAAAAAAAACCAAACCTGTGTGACTCATATGTGGATAAAAAAATATCAAATCTTTTGAAACAGAGATTCTCTGTGTTTGAGCTGTGTAAAAGATAGTGGGAATACATTTCTGAAGGAKATGTTTATTTAAGTGGTTCAGGAGTGAAGCTGTTTTTGTCAAATTTCTCTCCTGCCTACTAGCTGGTATTGTCATTCCATTTTCAAGGTCACAGTAAAGGTAGGCTGTTACTATTCTTCTCAAAGAGTTTTGGCAGGAGATAAATAGCTACCTCTGATCTTTTACAAGATATTAATAGGTGAGRCACTTCTCCACCTGACAGCAAAGCTGTCAATCAAAAGCTGTCAATTTTAGTTGGAAAGAAGAGAATGATGTAGAGCCCTTCCCTATCAATCTTTGATTTTGTGACTCTTTCTGAAAGTTAGATCTTCATGTGAGTCCAACAAACAACAAACAAAACAAACTACAAAGAAGTAGAGTTCTTATATCTTGAAAATAACGTTTKTGATGGAGGCTATTGACATTACTTTTAGCAAAGCAGGTAGGCAGCTAGGAGAATGCAGTATCTCTGTGGCATTAGAACAAGGTAATTTGCATGATAACTAATTTTTGCCTGCAATGTTAGAAGTATAAAATATATTTTTGTCATGTTTTACCCTAGAATTAATTTTACCCTAAAATTAATCTCAATTCAGTGAACTGTATTTAAAGAAAAAGTCAGCAATAATCCCAGGCATTAAAAGATGCAAGTTGTAAAACAAAAATCAGCTGCCTTGCAGAAAAGTTCTCTAATGAAAGGTCAGTGTTACATTTATGTATTTATGAAATATGTAACTTCTACATATACATTTCTTTTTCTTCAACTGGTGATATTTTCAGCCTTTTTAATTGACTCAGGAATCTCTTGTTATTTGTTGCTACAATAGTGAAAAGTTCTCACATGTATGACCTTTCAAATAGCATCAAACAACTTTGTAGAAAGAGTATCTTTTATGAAAAAGTGTCTCAATTTTTTTGAATCTGCATTTTATAATACTAAAGTAATACAAGATTGATGCAAAGTATTTGTAAGAGAATTAAAATAATTCTGTGTCTAATTTCCACATAAAGAATGTTGTATTTATTCTGCTGGCGTCCTAAAAAAAAAACCAGATAAATTGTTTATGAAGAAAAAATCCCCATCAGAAATGCACTTATCAAGTGAGTAATATGTATAAAAAATTCCCATTTAGTGTTTATGTACTTCTGTATATGCCAGTAGAAAAGAAAGCTTTAATCATGCAACTTGTGTAGAAATAGGTCCAACCAAGGAAAGAGGAAAAATGGATCCTGAATATACTAGGTTAAAGTTAATTATTTTTCTTTAAGAAAGTATTGATATCAGATGAATGTCTTTTACTAAAATACTTTGTTTTAAGGTTTTAAAAGTTAGGATATTTTTGTTAATTTTAAAGGATTTTTTTTTTTTAAATGAGCATGTCTCTATCATGCCTCCCCTCCTTAAAGGGTGGATGAATCAACTGCTTGAGGATATATATGGTCCCTTTGATGTTGACGTGACTCACAGGTATTATCCACCACAGACTGGTGAGGGGAAATACAGTAAATAAAACTAAAAATAGTCCACAATTAGCAGTGTGCTTTAAGGCAGGAACCAGACAAGTTTTTTGAGTAGTGCTTTTGTGGTTCAGCTCATATTTACAATATGCATAATGTACTGCAAATGCTGTTAAGCATATAGCAGTAAATTTGGCTAGTACGGCACAATTTTAAGTAAAGTAYTATAAATAATGCATAAGGAGAAGTACTTGTTTGAGCTGTACTTTCACAGTCTGATGGAATTAATCATAAATATCGTGTTGACAGATCACATGAACAGTAAAATTCACAGGGAATCTATTTATTGCGCTCTTTCTTTTGTATCTGTGTAGGGAAGAGATTGGAGACAAGGGATGCCATTCATTACTTTGAAAAGAAAAATTTTTATATCAGTATGTACTTTGAGGTTATGTACAGCCACATGCATACACACGCAGAGCTTTAAAAGAAAAGAGATTTGATCATATATGTTAGCCCAGGATAAAGACCCTGGTCCTCATTATAGTTTAGTTAGTCAGCTTCACGTGACATTGTGGAAAAGGCAATTGTGTTTCATGTAGATACGTAGTTCTTAAGGTATGTTTTTGAACTGTATTCATGTCTTTAAATATATACTTTTAAAATAAGGAGACAGGTTTTTATGCAGAAATTGCTATATTCCTGCCTCTAAATAAGCCCTACTTCAATATATATAGCAAATAGTTAGATTTTGTCATTTATTTTAGTTCAGTAAAAGAGTGGTATTTTTACTGGGCATTYGTTTGTTGAGAATTACACTATGATCAATTACAGTATTCTTTTTCATCTTTTTTCTTGGGTTTTTTTGGTATTTGTGTTTGGGGGGATGGGGAGCAATTTAAAAAAAAATATTGGTAGAAAGATTTCTTTGTAGAAATTTTATTATAAAATATACTAAGAGTTTGTGGTTTTGGTTTGGTTTGTTTTTCAGGAACACTGATGCACCATTTCTTCTTGTCCTGTCTTATCTTCATGTCCATACTGCTCTATATGCTTCAGAACATTTCAGAGGAAAGAGCAATCATGGTTTATATGGTGATGCAGTGGAGGAAATGGACTGGAGTGTAGGTATGTTACATGTGCCTCTAACAGCAGTGGAGGTGATTCATGATGACCTTTGTTCATGTTCACCAAATTCAGACCAGCAATTTGTATGTGTGCAGTATATCTGTCATACTTGTCCTTTCTACTTTCATCAACAAAGCACAATAATCTGAGTGTTTGCAATATTTGCTTTATTGCCAGATTTATTATGTCCTACAAAAAGCCCATTCCCTTCTTTGACTATGAAGGTGCAGCATGGATTTAGCAGAGAAAATAGTGAAATCCAACCCTCTGAGCTTCTGGGTKCCATCTGGCCTGTCCAGGTTATCCTTATAAAACAGTATATGCCAAAAGTGACCATATGATATTAGTATCAAAATATTTTCAAATGAAGTGACTGTAATATGTATTGTTGGCAAAAGTAATTTCCTAATAACTTCAGTGAATTCTCTGCGTTACTGAAATCACTAAGGTGAGATACACTTCAGTTTATGAAGTCAGAACCAATGATTTTACTTTTAAAGCCTTCCATGATCTCTGAAGCTGGAGAGCAACTATTCTTTCCATCTTTCAACAGGCTTCCTATATCTTTAGATGTATTCAAGTGTTTCTCTGATTCCAGAGATAATCACCCGTGGAAACAATTATAGTTTACATTGGTAAATAATCATATTTTAGAATAGCGGTACTCTAAGAGCTGAAGATGATTTTACAACCCTCTTTCCTTTATACCCCAAGTTACTTCTGTTCTCAGTACAAGGCTGTGCAAATTGGCTTTCTTTAGGAAAGCTTCCTTGCTAAGTTGCTATAAATAGATATTTAGCTTTGGTACATACATAAATTATGCCAGCATGTGCAGTTTAATGTGTATTTCTTGGCATATTTTTCATCAAAGTCTAGTTGCAGAAACAGTGGGTAAAAGGCAGCATAGCATACTTAGTGATTTGTAATGTATTTGCAAGAACGGGGAAAACCTTTGTAGGAAACTGCAATGTGCTTAGGAAGGGTTTTCAATGTAAGAGGCAACAGAATCATACTGTTTTTTAAAATCAGGTTTTGTAAAGAGAGAGCAGGTTTTATTCCAGTTCTATCAACCCTGAATCTTTACATGGCCACTAATGATAGTGGCCTATCAGTGGCCACTGGAATTTGGTCAAGTTAGCACTTGCATTAGATAAAAGAATGTATGTGTTATCATTTTTGTTTACATCCACATTGTAGCAATCTACTGAGCATTAGCCATTTTTACTGTCTGTGTTTGATTTTACTTTTTCTGTTGTGCAGATTTTAGTTTGTTCCAGTCTGATTGGTCATTTGCTACATTTTGCTGTTTCCTTGCTGCCCCAGAGAGCCTCTCGAGGGTTTAAACAGCAAGTTGGAAAGTAGGGCAGCTGACATGCTGCTGGTTCAGGCTATTTAGTGATGCAGAGGTGGAAACAGATTGAAAACCACTGCTCTTGTCCAGAATGACCACAGCCTCATAGGAGATATGTCAAACAAAACCAAACTTTAGAACAGAATGCTATTTTAAAAGCTTGGGATAAATCAGAGATACAAATTTAGTTGTGATACTATAGGAATTTAGAACAAACTTGGTGGAAATACACACTATTCCTCACATATTGTCCTTTCCTGCTCCTTAAAGGGAGGGACAGTAGAGCTAGCTTAATCAGGAAACTGTGGATGCAACTGATTTACTAACTAATTTTAAGATCTGGGTTGTTTTCTTTTTTCATTTGGGGTCTGGTTAGTCAGTTTTGTTTATGTCTTGTAAGATTTTGCTTATGAGAGATGGCATATTTGCTCCAGGAAGTAGAAAATGCCTTTAATTCCTCTGCTACTTTGTCCTCCATTATTAGCATGATGAAGAAAAATTATGGCTGTCATTTACAAATGAATGTGAAGGAATAATACAGCTTTTTTTTTCTTTTTTCTTTTTTTTCAGTTGAATAGAGTACTTAATTCCATTAACCTCTGCTGAAAATTCCAGTCTTAATGCATCAGCTATGTCAGAAAAAGTAGATAGGTTCACTCTACTGCTGATGTCGGTAATCAGTATGTTCTTGGAAATGCCTCTGAAGGTGTTACAGTAGAAAAGCTTTTTAAAAAGGCTTGTCTAGAAAAGATGAAAAGTGAATACTTTCAGAAATTGAGGTTTTATCATTCACTAGACAGAAGTTAGTATTTATGCAGAGATCAATGTAACTTGCAAAAGCAATAAGAACAAAATAGCACAGCTATAACAATTGGCTGCAAGACTTTCTAAATAAAGACACACAGCACAGAAGAAAAAAAATGAGTGCATAGAAAACTACATTATAGTACAACATCAGAAATCTTTGACCTTTGGTAGGAAAAATATACCAACTCTAACTCAGTTCTAACTCAGCTCTAGCTCAGTATGTTTTTTGCTGGCTGAAACATGTTGTGGAAGACCCTTGTGGATGACTTAAAAAAAAAGAGTAGAAAAGAGCAAAAGGTGTAGGTAGAAGTTAGAACTGACAGATGCCAGTGGTGAAAAAGACATTAAAATTGAACCAYGAAAAGCAACTGAAATACTGTTCCTCATTTGAGGAATCAGAGGGAATCAGAAAGACTTTAGGTGCCATTTTCAAGAGGGAAAGCAATAGCCTTTCTCGTAAGATGGAGAAGTCCACTGAAGACTCAGAATTCTAAATACAAAACAATCCTATTTTATTTGTTTATTTATTGGTAATCAATACCAAATTGGACAATTACTCAATTGTAAAGCAATCTTCATACTAGGAAGAGAAAACCCCGAAGACCCATGGATAAAATGCTTCTTTGAATATTTCATGTTTGTGACTTGTTAAACCAATACTGAAAAGTATGATTACAATCCACRTCAAAAATCCAAAATACAAAGCCTCTTGATAAGCTTTGGGACCATGTATGTCTATTCCTTTTGCATAGTGATGTGYGTGTAGCAGAATTCAGGGTTGAAAGCATTCACAGTTGCAATGTCACTGCATGTGACATGCCTTAGAGAATTATTCTCTGGCTAATAACATTAATTTTCTTTCAATGTAGGCTAAGCACCTTATTARTGCTATTAATTATAATTCATATGAGAGCAGATGAAATAATCTTACAGTCTAAAAATGGAAAAAGAAATGATGAATGAATCAATGAATGAGCTATCATCCTATTCTTCCTCTCTTCCCTTCTTTTATTCCTTCATTCTTGATTGAGTACAGGAAGAAAAATGGATATGTTCAGAAATTGTTTTTGATGTAAATTGCATTACACTAATTTAATCCAAAACAGATCACTGCAAAGGGTTTTGGAGCCCCCTGTAGACTTGCAAGCAAGCTGTATGAAGGCACTCTAATCCAACACTACTTTTGCAAATGGCCATTTATTGTTCTGTTAGCAGTAACAGAACTGCATATCAGGTCTTCCTTTCTAGGGTGATCACAACTGAAAGGCTTAGATGTGAAAATGTGTCAGAAATTGTAGACTGRCACAGGCTAGCTAACTGTAAAATGGGGGTCTTGTCTGGATATCTTTATTATGTGAATGCCCTGAATGTTGAAAAACTTAACTGCCTCTCTGCTGTGATCTTTTGAGTCAGGATCAAGTTAACATTACAAGAAAATATTACCGTCATCTGATGTTAGTTAATTAGAAGAAAATAAGAGGAAAGGAAAGGAAATAAATCCCATAGCATCTTACATGTAAATTTTGTTTGAAATATCTTGAAATATACAAAGGAAGAGTATAGCTCGATATGCTCCCCAGCGCAATGGAGAGCTACTGAACAATGTCCAGCAAAGGGTTACAAGAGAGATTAGAGCATTTGGGAGAAAAAGCTGGGAGAGCTGCGACTGAAGCCCTATTCAGCCTGGAGCAGAGTGTATCTTAGTGACCTGTRTAAAYACCTGAAGGGAGAGTGCAAAKAGRTTGGGCCCAGGCTCTTTTTATTSGTRTCCAGTGGCAAGAAGCAAGGGCTCAAACTGAAATGTGGGAGGTTTCCTCTAAATATCAGGGGAAACCTTTCTGCTCTGAGAATGATCAAACACAAACACAGGTTGCCATAGAGGTGGTGGGGTCTGGACATGGCCCAGGGCTCCAAGTGGCCCTGTTTTAGCAGCGGGCTTGGGCAAGACAACTTCCAGTATTTCCTTCCAGCATCAATCATTGGGAGATGCTGGAGAAAACAGAAAAAGCTGTTCACTAAAGTCAAATCATATTTGAAAAAAAATCAAATACAACCTTTAAAAATCAGTCTAGAGGAACAAAGGAACTCTGAAGCAAACAGAAACAAAGTACTATCACGATACTCTCTTCCTCTTCTCTKCCTTAGTGTGATTTCACCTGGAATAATGCATCCAGATCCTGAGAAGAGCCACAGAAATGGTCAGAGGTCTGGAAAAATTYTCCTCTGAAGAAAAGCTGAAAGCTCAGAGGTTCTTTAGGTTGGAGTGCTGAGATTGTTTAGCCTGGGGAAGGAAAGGCTCCTGGGAGATGTCATTGCTGCCTTTCAGTATATAAAGAGGRCCTATAAWAAAGGTGGAGAGGGACTTGTTGCCAGCGCCTGTATTGACAGGAGAATGTTTTAAACTGAAAGAGGGCAGGTTTAGGTCAGCTGTTAGGAAGTAATTATGGTGAGAGCACTGAGACCCTGGACTGGCTTTCCCAGAGAAGCTGTGGATGCCCCATCATTGGTAGTGTTCAGGGTCAGATTGTACAGGGCCCTGGGAAACCTGACCTAGTTGTGGCAGGGAGGTTGGACTAGATGGGCTTTGAAGGTCCCTTCCAACCCAAACCATTTTGTGATTCCATATTACTATCGTGACTGACAAACTTTGAGGATGCTAATGACCTCTTAAATAGATTTTCCTTACAAGAAAATAATGATCCATAACCTTCTTTTTTTTTTTTTTTTTTTTTTAAACTTAAAGTAACTATGTAACAAAATCTTAGATATCTGAAGAAATGGAACCTTACATGAGGAACATTTTTGACTTGTATCATTTGTGATACACTGCAACACAACTTTC